CAGCAGCAGCAGCCGCCGCTGCGGCAGCGTCCGAAGTGGGGGCGGCAAGCGCCGCGCCCCGAGTCCCCGCCGTCGGCAGCCTCGACCGGAGGCAGGCAGCGGCACCGCGTGACGGCGCGCGGCGCGGGGCCCGAGTGCGCCGAGGAGCAGGCGGCGCGCAGCAGGGCGTACCGCCGGGGCGCTCGCAGCAGGAGCTTCTCCGGCCTGGTGAGCCTGGGGCCCGTTTGCAGGCGTGGCGCCTCAGCGGGTGCGACAAGCTGCAGCAGATATGGGGGGAGCGTCCCACCGCCGCCGTTGATGCTCATCTGTAGCAGAGGGCGCAGACGCTGTTTCTCGTGCCGCGCGCCCCCCACTTGTCATCGCCCACCGGTCTCGCACCCGCATGCCGCCCCCGCTTGACAGGAGTCTTTGGCGGACGAGAGCCACGCGGGCCGCCCCATGACCACGCTGCGGCGCACGCGCAGCGTGGGGCGCTTTGACCACACACCCTGGGCGCTGCCCTGGGAAAACGGCGGCGGCGGCTGGGCGGGCGGCGACGACTGCGAGTCGCCCGCGGCGCACGTCATACGCATGGCCGGTGCGGCGCCGCGCGGCCCGCAGGCAGAGCTCTGACCTTCAAACCCTTGCATAGCGCTAGCGGGCGCAGCTGAGCAGCGTCCCTACCCCAGCAGCTATGCGTTGGTGCCGCTCCCCCACCCTTGCGGCCTGCCTCGGCCCCTCAACCCACCCTGCACTCCCCCTGCCCCTGCCCTCCCCCCCAGGCTACCCCCTCGAGACGTACACCGTGGTGACTGAGGACGGCTACGTGCTGCGCATGGAGCGCATACCACGCCCAGGGGCGCACGATGTGGCATTCTTCTTGCACGGTGGGCGAGCACATGTGCATGTTTGTGTGCGTGTGCGCGCGCCCTCGCACACACGCATGGGCGCACACGCAGGCATGTGTGTGTGAGAGAGAGCTTGTGAGCGTGCGTGCGCTAGTGTGCGCGTGTGCGTGAGTGCGCGTGGGTGGTCGGAGGGGCGATGAGGTTTGTTGCTTGCGGCAGGCCGCAGGCCGCTGGGCTGCACCATGGGGGTGCCGGGGCGTTTGCGGTGACACACCCGGCCAGGTTGTGTTGGAGTGTTCCGTGGGACACTCCAGAGCATCTCAGATGGTCCAGGACGCCGCACCGCGGCCTCACACCTTGTTCCTCTTCCTTAATTGATCTTCCCTGTCCTCCTTCCCCCAGGCATCCTGGACACCTCCCTAACCTGGGTGTCGGCCGGCGTCACCGGCAGCCAGGCCTTTGCGGCCTGGGACCAGGGCTTTGACGTGTGGCTGGCCTCGTCACGCAGCAACCCCCCGCGCGTGGCCACCAGTGAGCCACAGCACCGCAGCCGCACTTTTCGCGCGCGGCCGAGGCTTGCAGCTGAGTGACATGCAGTTTTGTGCAGCCATCCGCACACGTGGCTGTGGCCCCGGCCACACGTTAACCTGGCGGACCTTCTTTCACAGCCCGCCCGCCACCATGCATGCGAACACACACACACACACACACGCACATACACGCATGCACGTACGCGCACACACACACACACACACACACACACACACACACACCCACA